GTGGTGGGGGCACAGGCTGGGCTGGATGATCTCAGAGGGTTTGGCCAGCCTCAGCAATTCTGTGATTCTGTGAAAATACAGGCAGAGTGTTGGGGAGAAGGGGCTCGAGGAGCCAGGGGCTGCTGAGGGTCAGCCCATGCAGGGAGAGGCCTTCCACCCATGGGAGGGAGCTCTCGGGGGATTCCAAGCCCCGCAGGAGTGCGGTGCTGGGGTGCCAGCACGGCTGGCCAGGTGGGCTGGGGGATGGTGCCTCTAGGAAGAGGGTGCTGTGGGCTCAGCCCCACGAGGTGCAAGGCGAGCTCAAGCCCAGGGGCAGCCCAGGGCCAGGACAAGGGTGCCAAAGGGAGTCCCACGGGAGGTGGCTTACCAGGAACGCACAGAGCATGTAGAAGCTGATGAAATAGAAGTAGGCGAAGCCTGTGCCACAGGTGAACTCCTCGCCCTCGGCGAAGTCTGACTCGGGGTCGCACTGCTTGCCGTAGCTGCAGCCCAGCAGGATCTCCTGCCAGGCCTCGCCGGTCGCACACCTGGGGAGAGGGGACGCTGCCGGTCCCTGCCTGCCCTGGGCAGGAGCTGGGCATGCGGCGAGGGAGCAGGGAGCCACAGGGACAGGAGCGGTCAGGACCCTGGGCTTGCTGTGCTGCTGTGGGGGGTCTGCTATTGAAAGCTCCAAAGTGAATTGTTTGGAGTCAAGGACAACCTTGGGCTGAGCTCTTGCTTCCCCCTGAGTTTCCTCACAAGTCACAAATTAAAACCCAGTCTGGGAAGGCAACATTCAGAACAGAAATGCCAAAGCGCCCCTCTCTGCTGCAGCTCGGGCACACCAGGCAAACCAACACCTGAAATGCTTCCACTGCTGCAAGAGATTTTTCTGTAGGGCAAAAAAGAAATCAACTACAGAAATGCTGGCCTCCCTCACTCCAAGCTCGTGCGCTCCCACGCCAACTCGGAGCACAGCTCCCTTCTGGAGCCGCTCACTTGCCAAGAGAAGACTGACCTGAAGAGCAGCAACACAGCTTGTGGGAAGGTTTGGAAGTTGTTGTTTCGGTTGATCTGGGTCCCATCCACCATGGCGATCTTCCCAAACATCTGTAAATCACACTGTCAGGTTCCCAGCACCCTTTCTCAGGCAGTAACCATCCTTCAGAGCACCCTTGTCCCTGAGCATCTCCTGCTGTTTCCTTGGTTTTGGGTGTCCCACAAAAGAGTCTGAGACCAAGGTGTGGGTGCTCTGGGCCTCATGAGCTCCTTGGCCACTCCTGTCTATGCTGAATATGCCTCTGTCTACACTGCGCTTCATCTGGGTCAAGGAGACAAAGGTCTTATTAACCAGGAAAAAGCACTGGTGACCGTGTGCCTGGGTTGTGCCGTTGACTCCAGAACTGCTCTTTGCTGTGTGCCTCAGCTGCCTTAGCCACAGCCTGGGGATGAGAGGAAGCTGCTGGGGCTGTGAGCATCCTTGCAGACCAGGGCAAAACGGTCTCATCACATGCAAAGTCCCAGGGAGTGTCTGGCAGAGGACCCAGTCCATCTCCTCCCCATCTCCCCAGACGCTGTTCAAGACCAAATCCCAGGCCCTGTGCCTCTCACCTGCATCCCGATCACAGCGTAGATGAAGAAAAGCATCACGATCAGCAGGGCTACATAGGGCAGAGCCTGTGACAAAAGGACCGTGGTTCACGTGAGACACCAGCCCAGCATCAAAGGCAACCAAGGACAGGAGGCTGGGTCTTGAGCTACTGTGTGAGGCAGCACCCAGGCCTCCATGTGGGGAGGGGGCAGCTTACTTTCTGCCAGCTCCCCTAACCCTCCTCCCACTAGCCCCAAGCTCCATTTCTCATGCATGGGAGGCTTGTGCCAGCCCCCAAGGGAGCACCGGGGCTCTGCAGCTGGGATGAAGGATGAGGACAGCCCGGGGATGGACAGGGATGG